CATTTTCTTTTCCCACATAACACTAAACAATAGATCAATTGATCTTTCCTCATACCTTTCAAAGCATGATCTTCTGGGTTTTCTTTAAAGGAAAGACAAAATTTTTAAAAGAGATCTTGGACATTAGAGAAATGAATTTGATATTTTGGGACAAAAGTCTTGATCCTAGTTTTGAAAATTTGATTCTCTGTATCAACTAAATTTCTTAGGATGATTGTTTTTATTTAGCAAGCTTAATAGCTATAGCCCACACAAGTTAAAGCCTGTGAAATTTGGTTTATAAACCACCTTCATATTGGATTTCAGAGAATGCCAAGGCATTTTATCGATAATGATACTTGCTAAAACTCATCTCATACCTGAAAAGCTTCCAAGCTTTTATACTATATAAAAGATGGTTCTCTGTTCAAGCAAAATAAATCCTCAGATTTGCAATGCTGCTGTTTGATGTGGGAAAATGGCAGTGGAAAATCCAAGAGCCAGTTCCATGCCAGGCAGGCAAAATCTGCCATGCCCATAGGAGGCGGGAACCAGAACAGAACTGCTGTGGGTTGTATTTACTGGGAGAAAAGAACCCTCTGTCTTGAAAGGAGCTGCAGATGGAGTCTTTTCTCCATTTGCAGAATAATTACCTTAAACCTCATTTGTGTAGGTCCAAGGAAATCAACAAGTGAGGGTGTTGTTTCACATAATTCCACAGTTTTGGCTATCTTATTATTTTCTTTTTTTTTTTTTTTTTTTTGAGATGGAGTCACTCTGTCACCCAGGTTGGAGTGCAGTGGTGTAATCTTGGGTCACTGCAACCTCTTCCTCCCGGGTTCAAGCAATTCTCCTGACTCAACCTCCCGAGTAGCTGGGACTACGGGTACCCACCGCCACGCCCAACTAATTTTTGTACTCTTGGTGGAGGCAGGATTTCTCCATATTGGCCAAGCTGGTCTCGAACTCCTGACCTCAGGTGATCCACCCGCCTCAGCCTCCCAAAGTGCTGAGGCATGAGCCACCGTGCCCAGCCTCAATTGAATTTTTAAAAATCAAAACAGTGCTTTTACACAGTTATAAAAATGAAATAGTACTCTTAGAGTAAGAAATATCTCTGCATTATCAGTACTTGATCTCTAGAAGTAAGCATCTTTAATTCTTCTAGGACATTTTTAGTTATTATTTATCTCCATATTTCTCAGTAAAGTATGTATTATACTATTTTTTGATTTTTCAATTTTAACTGTCGCTTCCTCCTCACATGCTCACTATCCACACACATATATTTGTTCCTTCTCTGTGACACTAATAAAATTATGATAGTTTAAAAATATTTTTATAACCAGTTTTTAAATTATTGTAAGGAAGCGACAATATATAAATTTTATTCATAGCTGAGACATACTGTATTTATTTCATTACAACTTTTTTCCTTTTATTCCTTATAAATAATAGTTGTCTCATTTTTCTATTTTAAATTTATCTTTCTAATGTCTATCACAAATCCATCTCAAACTCCCCATCATAGCTAACATTTCTTTGTGTGTATGTGTGTCACTCTGTCGCCCAGCCTGGAGCGCAGTGGCACGATCTCGGCTCACTGCAACCTCTGCCTCCTGGGTTCAAGCATTCTCCTGCCCCAGTCTCCTGAGTAGCTGGGACTACAGGTGCACACCACCATGCCAGGCTAATTTTTTGTATTTTTTAGTAGAAATGGGGTTTCACCTTGTTGCCCAGGCTGGTCTGTTAACTCCTGAGCTCAGGCAATCCACCTGCCTCAGCCTCCCAATATACTGGGATTACGGACATGAGCCACTGTGCCTGGAGCTAACATTTCTTAGTAAGATTTAATAACATATTGTGTGTTTTTAATAGATTGTGTTTTTTAAAGGCATCCCTCCTAATGTGCTGAATCAGTGAGTCACTGTCCTCCCAAATGTGAACAACATTCTGATTTCTCCCAGTATAAATTAGTTTTGCTTCTTTCTCAAAAACAGAATCTAAATGAAATTATATATATGCGTTCTTTTGACCTTGCTTCTTTGATTCAGCACTATGTCAATGAGATTAATCTTTGTTTTAAGGTATAGCAGTAGCTCATTTTTTCTCATCGCTTTAGTTATGGCAGGCAAAAAAAAAAAAAAAAAAATGGCCCCTTCAAATATGTTCATACCCTAATTCCTGGAATGTGTGAATATGTGTGCAGTAGAAACATTGGCAAAAGGGATTTTGCAGATGTGATTACAGTTACAGAACTGAAAACAGGAAGATTATCCGGGTGGATACAATGTAATCATATGAGACTAATTTAAAGCAGATGATTTTCTCTGGCTGCAAGCAAGGGAGACTCAGCATAGGGGAAGCTGGAGATTTGGAAGATGACTGGTACTCAATGTGTCATTTGTTGTTCTTGTATGTAGAGGCCTATGTGGAAGAACTGGAGAGAGGCCTCTATGATCTAAGGGCAGCCCCCAGCTGATAGCCAGCAAAGAAAAGAGAGTCTTAGTCCTACACCCTCCAGGAACTTGATTCTGTCAAGAACCTACCTGAGCTTGGAAGCAGATACTTCCGAGAGTCTCCTAATAAGACCCTAGCCAGTCAACACTTTCATTTCAGTTTTGTGAGTCCTGAATCACACAATCCAGTGAAGTTGATGTGGACTTCTGACCTACAGACATTGTGAGATAGTAACTTGGCATTGTTTGAAGGGCCCAAGTTTGTGAAAATTTGTAGGGCAGCAATAGAAAACTAATAGAAGACTGTTCCATTATGTTACTATAACACAACATTTTAAAAATATCTATTTTACTATTGATGGATTTGGATAGCTTTCAATTGAGACTTAATGTGATTAATGATGCTAGGAACATTCTTTTATGTGTCTTTTGGCAGATGTATGTACATATTTCTATTGGTAATTAGGAGTGGAATGGATAGGTTGTATTATATGCATATTTCAGCATTAGAAGATATTGCTAATCAAAGTGGCAGCAGTAATAGGCACTCCTGCCCATGGTCTATGAGAGTCCCAGTTGTTCCATGCCCTTGCCAACACCTGTTGGAAAATTTATGGTGCTAAAGAAGAAATCACAATGTTTGTAAATGTTTGTTGCTACTTCATGGTGTTTTGATTTGTAGCTCTCTGATGATTAATGATGTTAATCATCATATACTTACTGGATGCTTGGAGATATTCTTTGAGAAGTACCTGCTCCACACTGTCAATCATTCAAGCAGTCCATAAACAACACCATAGCTTCTGGATTGGCTCACCATATTTCCATAAAACTGGTTAGTAAGGAAAGAATGAACTCAAATGGATTTCTACAGCACAGAAAGCATCATAACCTTCTGTTCACATCTCAAGTTCACAACAGTTCCCTCTCCCCACACATCCTATGGGGAATGCAGAGGTGGGCCTAGGTGGATGCTACGTCTGTGGCATAGGTCTGTGCCTCAGCTGAGAACACTGCCCTTAGGAGCTTCCCAGTCATTTAAGGGGCTGCTGATAAACCTGTCCTTTCTTTATATCTGAGAAAGAGTTAATAAAGATATGCAAGTAAATCTTCTTGTATGTAAACAAATTTTCTACCAGAAGAGGAGGGAGACTTTACTATCATGGAAGGTAAATAAATTTTCTCTGTGACCCAAAAACCATCTCTAGCTTCCAAGCCTGTTTGCCACACAAATACCCTTGAAAAGATATGTATATAGATATAGCTATATACAGTTACATAAATATACATATACATACATATATTATAGTTCGATACAAATATATGCACATACATACATTATATATTATATAAGATATATATCAAACTATTATTTTTATGTATACTTTTTAAAATATAAAAATATGTATTTTTAATGTATTGCTTTTGCTGTATAGCATAATTTTTATTCTGTCTTATTTTTCTTTTTTTTTTTGACACATATAAATATACAATTTTATTTATATGTATTTCATAACATGAACATATAATATTACATAGAATTGCATATTTATATATTATGTATTTTAATATTTTAAGATTAATAGGTACACACAATATAACACATACGTATTTATATATTTATAAGTTGAATTTTGTTAACTATTTACTCTTCATATTTTTAATTCTTACTTTTTTTTTGCTTATCTATCAGTTGTTTACAGGGAGTATTAAATTACCTTACTATGACTATATTTTTAATCAAATAATCTTATTATTTTATACCATTTGCTTAGATTACTTTTTTTTTAAAAAATTTATTTATTATTATTAAACTTCAAGTTGTAGGGTACATGTGCACAACGTGCAGGTTTGCTACATATGTATACTTGTGCCATGTTGGTGTGCTGCACCCATCAACTCGTCATTTACATCAGGTATAACTCCCAATGCAATCCCTCCCCCCTCCCCCCTCCCCATGATAGGCCCCAGTGTGTGATGTTCCCCTTCCCGAGTCCAAGTGATCTCATTGTTCAGTTCCCGCCTATGAGTGAGAACATGCGGTGTTTGGTTTTCTGTTCTTGTGATAGTTTGCTAAGAATGATGGTTTCCAGCTGCATCCATGTCCCTACAAAGGACACAAACTCATCCTTTTTTATGGCTGCATAGTATTCCATGGTGTATATGTGCCACATTTTCTTAATCCAGTCTGTCACTGATGGACATTTGGGTTGATTCCAAGTCTTTGCTATTGTGAATAGTGCTGCAATAAACATACGTTTTCTTCCTGAAAAATGCTTTCTTCCTTGCCTGACATTTACTCAAAAAAGCCTTTAGTGATCTGCAATTTAGAATGAGCTGTTCCCAGATATGGAAAGACACAAACTGTATTATTCTTGGCCAGTGTTACTTTCATTAGAATTTGGACACAGTTCTGCAATAGAATTATACACATATTTTAGCTTCCCTTCTATTATTGCACAATGCAGTTTACTTCTGTGACATTTTTCATTTAAATAATAATAATGAAAGAAACAACTGGAAACTGGAATTAATTACAAGTAAAACATTTTCCTCTAACAGAGAGAAGGAGAAAGGGATCATAAGGTGCGTTTGGCAATTGGAAACGGTATGCGGAGTGATGTATGGAGAGAATTTTTAGACAGATTTGGAAATATAAAGGTGTGTGAACTTTATGCAGCTACTGAATCAAACATATCTTTCATGAACTACACTGGGAAAATTGGAGCAATTGGGAGAGCAAATTTCTTTCACAAAGTAAGTACAGCATTTTCCTTATTAAAGAAATACGTTGGCGCGGTGACTCACGCCTAATTCCAGCACTTTGGGAGGCCGTGGTGGGCAGATCATGAGGTCAGGAGATAAAGACCATCCTGGCTAACACGGTGAAACCCTGACTCTACTAAAAATGCAAAAACAAAATTAGCCGGGCATGGTGGCCGGCACCTGTAGTGCCAGCTACTCGGGAGGCTGAGGCGGAAGAATGGCGTGAACCCGGGAGGCGGTGCTTGCAGTGAGCGGAGATCACGCGACTGCACTCCAGCCTCCCCCCACCCCCCAAAAAAATAAGCACATTGAGATCTGCCAGCTCTCTTGGATATTGTGCTTGTAAATTGTCGTAAATATTATCACCTTTTTTTTTTTTTTTTTTTGAGAATTTCTAGAAATAGGGTAGTGGCCTCAGTGTGAGAGACGAGGGTACAGTTTTGTGAACCTCAATTATCTTCCGTGTTTTCTCTCTCATGTCACCATAATGATGCCTTTTCTTGTTCAGTTTCCAAATTTAATGATGTAATTTATAAATAGCAAGCATAGGCCCTGATATATGTTAATTTGACTCTTTCCGTTTTCCTTGAGTGTTTTTATTCCACTATTTCTACTTATCTTTCAATGTTTATACCACTCAATTCTATACCGGCTTTTAATAATTTTTAAACTACATTAAGATATCACTAAAATCTTAAAAGTATCCAAATAAATCAACTTTTTAGGAGGAGAAGATTGACAGCTGATTTCTCAATAGCAACCACAAAACACAAAAGACAGTCGACATTTACCTTCCACTGGCTTGGAAAAAATAACTGTCAAACTGGAACTTATATTCAACAATAATTTTTTAAGAATAAAGGCAAAAATAAACATAGCAGTCTCAACCTTTATAAAGCAAAACTGATATAGCTGCAAGAGAAAATAAATCTTCAATAATCTATAATAATAAACTGCTAATTGACATCTGAAAACCCTGCATCTAACAACTGCAGTGTGTCTATTTTATTCAAACACTTTTGAAACATTTACAGAAGTTCCTGGGCCAGTTAGGTAATTCCAACAAATTTCAAAGGATTGAATATATTTAAATTATGTTCTCTGAAAACAGTTTAATTGTTGGTAGAAATAATTTTTGTAAAAGACAACTAGATAACCTCCTATATATTTGGAAATAAAACATTTCTAAATTTCCATTCATCAAAGAAAAAATCATAATAGAAATGAGAAGATACTGTGAGCTACATCCTAATGAAAATATTACATGGAAAAACTTGTGCACTTAGCCAAGAATAGCTGAAAATTGGATGGAGCTCAGTAACCATCTCTGTAAGTTAACTTTTAAAAGGACAACTAAAATAAACTCAAAGGAAATAAAAGGAAGGACATAATAAAGAACAGAAATAAATGACATAGAAAAAATATTTGGTAAGGAATATAAAAATAAATAGAAATATAATTTTTAAAAGGTAAAGAAATCGAATCTGATTGATAGAAGGCAGAAATAATATCAGGAATGGAAAAGGGAACATTGCTGCTGATACTTTAGACATTAAGACAGTAAAAGAGGATATGTCAAGTTCATATCAATAAACTTGAAATTATTAGATGAATTGGATAAATTTCTAGAAATGTACAACTTACTAGAGTTGACTCAAGAATTATTTTATCACACTAAATGAAATAAATTCATACTCCAACATCTTCCCTTAGTTTCAGACAGCTTTCCCACTCAGGATAGTGAATATTCAAGAACAAATGATTCTTCTCCTACAAACTCTTCCAGATAATGCAGAAGGAGAAAAAACTCCCCAACTCACTTTCTGACTCCTAAACCTGACATAACAGTGCAAGAACAAAAGTACTTCCTACAGGCATACATGTATGAGGAAAGTCTTTGTTTGATAATCTCTCCCCTCAGGTGTGTTTCCTTAGTGGCCTCACCTGTTCTCTGAAAGTAGCAGTATCCTATATCATTGCTTTTGAGATTTCCAGAGCACCCTACTCAAGCCATATTTAGAGCGGCTTTTGAAGAGATCTTTAAGAATCCCATAATGTGAACTTTGGTGTGCATTTTTATCACTTTCATCCCTAACTGCTTTAGCTTTATAGTTAAAGTTTTCTATATAATAAACTGCCATACCTCAAAGAACACCTGGAAGCAACAAAGTATTTGCTTTTCTAATCCGTGGTGATTTTTTCAGTGTCTGGAAGTAATTGGCAGACATGTGTTTTTCATGCCCTAGCAGCTCACTTTTTCAGTCTAGTTGCCCATTCAAAGCTAGTATAAATAACAGTAATGCTCTAAACCTAAAGAAAATGCAAACTATTTTTATAATGCATTCTTTTGGGATTTTGAGGGTATAGTTGACATCTCAGAAATGCACTTTATTTTGAACAAAAGCATTTTGGGGAAAGTAAGTGCTGATTTTACTGAGTTTTACATTCCTTGCGGTTAATTTTCTCAATTCATTGCACTGGTTCCTTTACAAATTTGGTAATGATATTGAGCTCCTTTGTGAAACTGAGTCATTCTAAAGCAACCAACAAGGGTATGATGATTTGTATTTTATATTACTGACTTTATTATAATTTTCTAATTCTTTAAATTTTCTGTCAACTCTAATAATGTCAATCATGAAAAAAGTCATGGTTGTCTTCAATTTATTTGGAAAACCTGTTTTTCAACTCATTTTAGTTTTCTTTTTCAGTTTGGAAATGAAAAAAACAAAGTGGTGCCTAGTACTACATGTCTTCTAGTCTGCCTTTTATCATTTTATTCACATGTTGTTTTCTTAGATAGCGGGTAATTAGAAAAATTTGGTTCAATGATTTTCTCATAATTAAGTGAGGAGATTTGATAAGTGTCTCTCAAAAATGCTAGCCTAATGGAGGCTCATGCTTATTATCTGGGAGAGAAGCAGCCACCGGAGATAAAATGTTACAAGTGAAGGATAATTATAAGGCAGCAACAGAGTTCCTATAACCCATTGTCTTTATGTGCTACACTTACTATTTTAATGCAAAAAACTGAAGAAATATTGTACCCCATATCCTCCCAAGGCAAACAATATAAAAAATTTAGTGACAACTTATTTGAGAGACAAACTCAAGTGGAATTATGAACTACCTTCTCTTTTTCTGTAGTATTTTCACCTGGGGAAAATAGGGAGCGGCAAACATAAAATACAAAGATAAAGCTTGAAAAAAGGGAGAAAATGAATCTAAATAAAAGGCAGATGAAAAAAATGAATGCACATTTTATACATAGATGAAATAAAGCTCAGAAAAAAAAAACAGAAAATGAATTAAAAATAAAAGGCAGCTGGAAAAAAAATGAATGCACATCAAAATAGTAAGTTTCCCAAAACGACCAGGAAATGTTTAGAGAAACAATTTCTCACAGGCTTGAAAAATTACAATAATATTCTCTTTAAAAATAAGAGCGCAGGAAAGGAAAAGGATCAAGGACAAACATAAATCAACAAAATGAACTAAAAAGTAAGCATGCTCAGCTCAAAGAAAAAAATAGAGGAAAAATATGTAAATGTTACACAAATGAGCATCACATAAAAGAACTTAAAATCAAAAGGAATGTACATGTTGTTAGGGAGAAAGATGAGCAGAATTAAGAAGCCCCACAAACACAGTAAAAAGAGCAAGCAAATGATAATTTAAAAATGAAGAAAAAGGATTTTGAAAACATAGACAATGATCTGATACATCCTTAATTGGTGTTCCTGCAGTAAAGAACAGATCAAAGAAAAAAATAATTATTTCTACCCTAGTAGAAGAACATTTCCTTAAGGTAAAAACTTGAATCTTTAGCAAAAGAGTACACTATCTGGGGCAGAATAATTATAAGAAAAATATATCCTGGTGAAATTATGAAACAAAAAGAACCTTAAGGAGATTTTGAGGTAGGAAGAGCAAAGGATGAGCAAAGTATAGCACAGGTGAGAGTGGAAAACATCTCAGGCATTCTCAAAATAAAACACTCAAGGTTAGGAAACAAGGAAAGAGTTGACTTCACCTAAGAATTTTTCTAGGATGTTTTCTCAAAGTTTTAAGAAATCAGAATCTATAATACCCTCATATTTATAGGAATGCAATATTTCTTTGTAAAATTCACTGAACAAAAAATAATGGCCAACTTGAAGATAAACCATAACTTAGAAATGAAAGAATGACCTTCAGTTAAAATGCCTGATGGTGAATATTGAGTCAATTCACATATAGATGATTGAACCACTCTGAATTGTTTATACATGGAATAAAACCTGACAATGTAAAAATAATTATGACACTAACAAAAATGGGAGTTGGGAGGGAGGAAAGGAAGAAATGGTAATTCTCCTATCTGTCTTATTGGCAAATCCATAGAAACAATGGAATTTAAAATTTAAATACCATGTAAACCTAAATTTAAAAATAATATATGAGATTAATGAAATGACTCATTTCTTTAACCATTTTCGTAAGCTGTTTTATTGCCTTAAAAGTAGGCATCTTTTAGGGTTAAGAAAAGTTAGACAACTTCAAAATAAGAGAACAGTCCCCAAAAGACCACTCATTTCTGACATCAGTTGCAATTTCAGGAGTCCCTGAAGACCACTCTCAGGTTTGATAATTTGCTAAAAGGACTCACAAAACTCAGCTTATCACATCTAAAGGATCTAGATTATAATCATCCCAGGGATGTCATATGTAAGGCAGAATCCAGGAGGGTACCAAGGGTGAAGCTTCCAGATATGCTGTGTTGTGGAGCCAGAACAGCATTACTTTCCTGGAATTGTGTAAAAATACGCAGGAACTAGTGCCAACTGGGGAAGCTCACGGGAGCCTTGATGTCCAGTCTTTCTGGAGGCTTCGTTGTGTAATTCAGGTTGACTGCTCACATGGCTTACCTCCATCTCTGCCCCTTAGGAGGTCAAGCTGGGTGATGCAAAGCCCCCGGCCTACTTCATATTGTTCATGTGCCTCAGAGACCCCATTCTAAATCATACTGTTGCCATCTAGTTGCCCAGAGGTCTTAGACAAACAAAAATGCACTCCTATTAAGAATGGCATTCCAAGGACTTAGAGGTCACCTCCCAGAAGCTGGGACCTTTTTGGGTGACAAGGTTAAATTCTTTACTACACAGGGACTGATAACTCGATTCCCGACTCTACCGTTATTTCACTTTGTGACTTTGACAAGTTACTTTTCTCTCGGTTCAGAGTTTCCTCATGTATTAACGAAGGAAATTAACTTTGTGTTCCTTTTCCAACTCATAAATTTACAAATCTGAATCTGCAAAGATAGGTAGGTATGGATAAAACCTCCCAGGGCCAATGCGTACAGCCACATAGGTGTGTGTTCATCACACAGTTCTGCTATGAATGGGACCCCCTGCAGCTGTGCTCCAGACATGTACACATACACATACATAAACATGTACATTTGGGGGATTTTAAGGTGTGGCATCTATTTTTTGAATTTGTATTATAATGCAGCCATTTTTGTAATATCATGAGGACCTCCTGAAGGCAGGAAGGAGAATAGAAATATTTCTAGCTGAGCATTAATCCTCTGCTCCAGGGTACTGCTAGAAAATGCTGTGATATATTTAATTTTATTTGAATTATAAAATTATTCAATTTCTGACCATCAAGTCCCTTTTTTCTGATAACAGACACACTAGACAGTAATTTGCTGTGGAATGAATCTCACCCACGCACATGGTTGCCCAATTAATCTAAAAGAAATAACACTAAAGCTGACATCACAAGTCACTGGGCAAATTTTCCAAAAAACAGAACATATTAAAGTAGGAGAAAAAAGAATAAGTAATGGACAGGGGTCTGTTCTTATTTGGCCAAGATGATAAAGGCAGTTCTGGAATTGCTGGGCTCTTTCTTTCTACTAGCCATTAGGCAAGTGGCCAATATCCTGTTATCCCAATTACAGACAAAGACCAACAAGATGCAAGTTCATATTTTAATAAACAGTCTTTATATCTAGAATAACAATATATTTGCTTTGTTGCCTCTTTCATTGGCTCTAATCCTAAAATAGGATAATATTAATTTCCACCTCATAGGATGTTTTGATGATTACATTAAACAGTGCCCTGCATATAGTTAGTGCCCAATCAATATTCATTGCTCTCATTTATATTTTAATTCAAATAATGAGTTGTGATTCAAGTTACATGCTTATTTTACTACTGCTAAGAACCAGAGGTATTTGCATTTAATCTTTGATGATAAATAATACTATTGCATCTATCTCAATCATCTTATCTTTTCCCACTTATTTGTTCTATATTTGTTCATTTTCTCCTGCTTTTCCCCCATTCATCTTTGTTCTATATTTGTTCTATAGTTGTTCATTTCTCTTCTCCTGCTTTCCCCCCATTCATCTTTCCTTATTATTATTTTATTTCACTTCATTTTATTACATTCATGTTAGTTTACCATTTTCTAACTGAGCTTGCTTAATTGCTGAGTAGAACCTCAGTTTTCTTATAGAATAAAAATGGGAGGGCTGGGTGAAGTGGCTCACACCTGTAAGCCCAGCTGCATGGGGGGCTAAGGTGGTAGGATTGCTTGAGCCTGGGAGGCAGAGGTTGCAGTGAGACGAGATCTCCTCACTGCACTGCAGCCTGGGTGACAGAGTGAGACACTGTCTCAAAATATATATATATATAGGAGGAGATTGGACTAAACCAGTCTGCAGTTCTCTCCCAGGGTGGGAATTTAGTGGACAAATGAGCCTGCATGACATGATAATATGGACATGATAGGAGCAGAGTAACTGAAAACATTTGGGGATGAGAGGAGACATCCAATCTTTGGTTCCTGATGTGATGGGTGTTTTCTAATAAATTTATCATCTCATACCAGAGTGTGGAGAAGCACTAAATGTTAGTTTAGGAGCATTAAAGTGAAAGGCTCAGGGGAAAGGCTTACAGGAAAAGGACAAAGTGGCTGTCAAGTAAACATACTTTTTAGGCATTTGATATGTTTTGGCTTTTTTGTTTGTTTGTTTGTTTAGATACTGTGAGGAAAAAATAAACAATACCATTCTTACATTAATGTAGCTTACATTTTAGTTCTATGAAAACTTTTCACTTCCAGGGTTACTTTAAATAAATGGCTGCAGAAAATGGTCCTTTTACGGGCAGTTAACAGATTATTAATTGAATGCCTGGATTGTTTCGTATCTTGATTAAAATTAGTAGTGTTTTGCTAAGTAAAGTGTACCACAAAAGAAATGAAAGTAAACGCCAGTAAATGACTGCTGTTTACTAATACCTTTAGTTTTGAGTTTTAAATATTTAATTTGTCTTCAGTAGAAGTTGTTTTAATAAATCCATATTCCAATAGTTATTTCAATTAGCATAGTCTACTACAGTAGATGTCATTGCACAAGTAACTAAATGCTTGTTTCTATTTGATTTTTTTTGTTTTGCAGCTTCTTTCCACTTTTGACTTAATAAAGTATGACTTTCAGAAAGATGAACCCATGAGAAATGAACAGGGTTGGTGTATTCATGTGAAAAAAGGTAAGACTTCTATTTGAAGACATCCTCTCAAGCAAAGTTTCTGATCTACCATATACAGATATCCCTTGGTATCCTTGGGGGATTGGTTCTAGGACCCTGGGTAGATACCAAAATTCATGGATGCTTGTTCCTTATATAAAATGATACAGTATTTGCCTATGAGGTATGCACATCCTCCTGTATACTTTAAACAGGTGGCTTATAATACCCAATACAATGTAAACGCTATATAACAGGGTCATATGGTATTTTTTATTTGTATTATTTTTATTGTTGTATTATTTTATCTTTTTTCCCCAAATATTTTATATCCAAGGTTGGTTGAATTCGCAGATGTGGAATCACAGATATGGAGGGCCCGCTGTGATTATTAGTGAATTTCAAAAGGAGAGGATGACGAGGTCCACTGTGTAATTTAACTTTGGAATTTTAATGCAGGTGGAACAATTTTACTTAGATGTTAAGAGCCCCAGAGGGATCACTCAGCTGGTAAATTATTGAAATAAAAAAGTGGTAACTATTTGGCTCATACTATTCTTAATCTACCACTTGTAGTATGAACAATGGCAAATGTCTAATATCCTACATTGCCAAACAATAATATAGAAATTAGTGAATTATTTTATCATTCTAGATGTAGTGTAAAGTCAGGCCAACTTGGATTTAAACATGGTCTCTGACACTTAGAAATGGTGCAACTTTGGACAGATTACTTAACCCATCTAAGTCTTATTTTCTTTTGTGTAAAGTAGAAGTGACAATATTTATTCATTGAGGACAATTAAATGGGATGCATGTATATTCCTGGGGGACCTGGTATGTGGCCTGTTACTTTCCTCTCCTCAACTTCTCCCTCTCACTCCCCTCCATTCTCTACCAAGGTAGACTTTCTTACAATTTTAGGTTAGAAATTTTCATGAGAGCAAGTACCTCAATTAACTTGCTGCTGCATATAATAAAATTAGAAAATAAAATGTAGAGATGTGCACTTAGAATTGTTTAGAGAGCCAGTATGAATAAATCAGGGCAAAATTAATTTTTATTGCCTTAAAATATGTTGAAACTACATTTCAGAAGTGACTTCCTAAATCTTTACTTCAAATGTGAAGATAAGGTGGCAAACCTGTTTTTATTTTCTAGTAGCTGAAAGACTAAAAAAAAAAAAAAAAAAAAAAAATGCAAACTTTGTCTATTAAAAAACAAATCTCCCGAATCTCTGAATTTCAAGCCTACTGGCTTTTATCAAATGTTTCTCCAATTCTATTCTATAGACACTGGCCATGGAATTTCTGAGGAAAGTGCAAAGAACTTAAGCACTCTTTTCTACTGGTCTATTTCTTGCAATTACAATAATATCTAATATTAAAACTTGAATCCCAGAACTGTGCTTATACACCCTCAGGTTTTCTTAAAAAGCTGGTTGACCCCAAATATCTGTTTTTCTATTTTGGATTCTCATTATGAGCTACTCAGTATTTTTTCCATTAAGGCGTTGTGTCTTCACAATGTATATTATGCCCAACAAGAAAGATGTAAATACACTATGACCTATTTAAACATTTGCAACAATTAGTTTGTCAGAAAAGAAACTGTCACCTGTATCCTGAAAAAGAATAAAAGAAACCAAAGAACATATATTTTAAGGGAGATGTAAGAGTCTTGAAAAATTCTGAAATATAGGGAATGTAGACTGACAGAATATATCACAGAGGTGAGGCTTTGGAGTCAGATGTTCCTGCATGGAGATATATATATATATATATATACACTCCGATTCCTGCATTTGACAGCTGTATGACATTGGGCAAATTCCTTTTTTTATGCCTCAGTTTTTTCACCTTAAAATGAAGATATTATCAGGGCCTTTCTTGTAGGTTTGTGATGAGAATTAAATGGATTACATGTGTAAAACACTCAGAATAGTGACCATTACCCAAAAAGTGCTCAATAGGTATAATAGTGGTGATGATAATGATGGTGATGATGATGATATGATGGTGTTGGGAATGATGATGATGACGATGATGATGATGCTATCAGACTCTGCTGGAGCAGAGAAGATTTGCTTTGGCCAGTGACCTATGTGCCCTTGAAAGCCACAATGACCAGGAGTGGGAGAAATGGGAGTCGAGTAAAGACTGTTGACTGGGTGTGGCAGCTCATGCCAGTAATCCCAATACTTTTGGAGGCTGAGGTGGGAGAATTGCTTAAGCCCAAGAGTTCTAGAGCAGCTGGGCAACCTGGTGAGACCTTGTGTTTCAAAACAAATCTCAAAATTAGTTGGGCCTGGTGGCATGCACCTGTAGCCCCGCTACTTGGGAAGTTGAGGTGGGAGGATCGGCTGAGTCTGGTAAGACAAGACTGTGGTGGGCCATGATCACGCCACTGCACTCCAGCTTGGGTCACAGAGTGAGACTTACTTTTTAAAGAGCTTTAAAAGACAGAAATCACTCTGTATTATAGTTTGCTGGACTCCAACTTCATCTAGTCACATGAACACTGCATTTCTTTATAGCAGGCATAGCAAGTGGACAATAGCCTTGAAGACTTCCAGAGCAGTGATTGCTGCTGTCCTTTTTTCTTTTGCCTTCTCTTCAAAGTAGTTTTTACCTTACAGATTGCTGAGAAAAATCTTAATTAATTTGAATAAGTTTGATTGGAAAATTATTTCAGATAATGTGTCTAAACATAACTGAAACTAGTAGGTATCATGGAATAGGAAATCTTTTCAATGGCTCATCTCTTTCCCATCAAAGATTTCCAGAATAGCATACCAGAGGAATAAACCATTTTGTTATAATAAATAAAATACATTTGTGTATTGGATGAGAGATAGTATTATACAGAAACCTTGCCACACAAAGTCATAAAAAGTTAAATTTGAGTTCTAGTTCCATTTATCTCTCTGAGCATAGCAGCTGTTGTACCTCTTTGGGTCCTAGTTCCTTGCTGGTAAAATAGGGATTATATCAAAGGATTTCCATGCAGAATAAGCAAGGTGACATTTGCAAAGGGCTCATGGTAAATGCCCAATAAAGAAAATGCTATCATTATGTTATTAACACTATTACTACTGTTGTTATTTATATAACAAATGTCAATATTATCTGTGGTAACATCTACATAATCCAAAACAAAAGTAGCCATTGGTCTATCCACTTGGGAAATATAAGAAATCTAATGAGCCTTTTCTTTCCATTCAATTCCTTTTTATTAGTTTTTCCAAAGTAATTTGTATTTTTGGTAATCTATGAAAGGATGTGCTAGATATAGGCACCAAGGGTAAATGGTGTCAAATACAGAAATAGGTTCAGAGGAAGCTGAGATAAGCAGCATTGGTTGTGCTGGCCAGATATAATATAGATACATGCATGATGTGTGTAACAATACTTTTAATCGAAAGGCTGCAAAAATGTCGTTCTTTCTTGCAGGAGAACCTGGACTTCTGATATCTCGAGTGCATGCAAAAAATCCCTTCTTTGGCTATGCTGGGCCTTACAAGCACACAAAAGACAAATTGCTTTGTGATGTTTTTAAGAAGGGCGATGTTTACCTTAACACTGGAGACTTGATAGTCCAGGATCAGGACAATTTCCTTTATTTTTGGGACCGTACCGGAGACACTTTCAGGTATGAAATATCATGGGATGAACAGCTTGTTCTGTAATTGTGAACCATGCTTCTATAGAAACATCAGAGACCACATATGCTTTAGCTTTAGCTTTCAGGGCAGACAGAGCCCTTTTATCTCCATGTCTTCTCATTAAAAAATTTATTGGCCATCTGTTTCTAGACTGAACCACAAGTTAAATTTTGTTGTAAAATTTTATAATTATTTTATTGAATCAGTTTAGAACAAATCAGTGAGCTTCTTTTTAAGGAAATAAAGCTGGCAGACAGATGTAAAATATAAATGGTAGGGTTAAAACAAAAAGTCAGTTTGATCAACTGTAGTCTAATTCTTGGCCTAATGATAAAAATTTTGAAACAGCAAAAATCCCCTTTCGCACTTTTCCTTTTTTAATTCCCCAAGCTTATTTTAGGTCTATGAAATTATTTTGCTTTACTATTCCAATGACTTGAATGAATGCTTGAATGAGTAACTTCCTACATCCTTGCCTTCTTGTACCATGTTATAAGCTCACTTTATATAAAGTTATTTCAATTAAAACAAAATATTCATTCAAAAGCATTAAAGGAGCCAAAGGGGTTAACACCTAGAAACTGAAGTGGGTCAGTGTATTAAAAGGCAGCTAGAGCTTTACTTTCAATTCTTATCACCAGAGAAAAGGAATGTTTTGTACTTTATTGTTATTTTAAAAAATAATATTTTTGTAATGATAATCCTTATAATTATTTTTTTATGTATATTATAAAACATAGAAAGTAATTTATACAATGAGATATAAAGTAATTTTAACTAAAAGACCAATGCTGATTTTGTTGAATTACCAACAAAGTGCTTTCTTAGAAATGCCTTTCAGCTTGAAAACTACAGTTATGTTGGTCAGTAGGTGCTTGCACAGAGCCAAATACAAGACACTAAAACTAAAACTGGGTACCTAGTTTTTCAAATACAGGTGCACTAACTGGAATTTGATTTTTTTCATTTAGATGGAAAGGAGAAAATGTCTCAACCACTGAGGTTGTTGATGTTATTGGAATGTTGGATTTCATACAGGAAACAAACGTCTATGGTGTGGCTATATCAGGTATAAATATATTTCAGATTTGGGAAAGATTCTTAGAATAGAATTTCCACTATTCTGTAGTTTTGCAATAGTCTTGCGAATTCAACATTTTAATTTTTGTGTATTAAGATAAAGATTTTATTACTGCCTTGGCAAGTAATGCCCTTGACCAAGCTAACAAAGTTCATGGTCACTTCACGGGAAAGGTACCAATTGAATTTTAATGCCTGTGTGTATTTTTAAGCAAAGCTTGAAAACTCTGATCAATGACTCACTGCTTGGAATTAGTTACAGCTTTTTATTAGTCTATTATTTTTCTTTTTATGACTAGTGTTTGTACATACCACTAAACAAGAACATGTTCCACTTTAAATGTTTAAAAATACTGACTTTTAGTTAAGATGGCTCTTTATAAAAATTACTTTTAAATTTGGACTCGTTATCCTTATAATTATGCATATGAGGATTGTCTCATGATGTTGAAAATGTCACAGAAAAGTGACCAATTTGAAGTCATAAGACAGCCATTCTCCATTTTTCAGCAAATGCTTTTAGGTGCAGGGGAGATCAGGGATGTGAGTGTTTGGATGGGAGAGCAGAAGAAGGGAATGATTACTTAATAAATAGCCACCGAGTGCTGGAGAAAGATTCCAGGACATTCTGACCCCTGTAAAGATCCACAGGTGGCATGATAATCAGTAAATGATTTGTGGAATGAATTATGGAAATACGAGTTTCTAGTTTCTTAAAAATATGCCCTTCAGCTGGTGCAGGGGCTCACGCCTGTAATCCCAGCACTTTGGGAGGCCAAGGCAGGCGGATCACGAGGTCAGGTGATGGAGACCATCCTGGCTAACACGATGAAACCCCGTCTCTACTAAAAATGCAAAAAGTTAGCCGGGCATGGTCGCGGGTGCCTGTAGTCCCAGCTACTTGGAAGGCTGAGGCAGGAGAATGACATGAACCCGGGACGCAGAGCTTGCAGTGAGCCAAGATCGCGCCACTGCACTCCAGCCTGGGAGACAGAGCGAAACTTCGTCTCAAAATAAATAAATAAATAAATAAATAAATAAATAAATAAAATATGCCCTTCATATTTCACATTAAAGCTTAGGATATATATTTCTGCTGGAATATAGTTGCCTTTTAATAAATGTTTTCTTTCTTAATATCTGTTTTAGTGGTGGTAGGATGCAAATTCATTGTAATTTATAGTGTTGCCCATTCCATGTATTTCATTTCTGTAGTATAGGCAATTAGAGATGGACTCTGGTCTTCCCTGTCCTTAAATGTTTCTAGGGGGTAAATCATATGTTCAGGGAAGGAGACAGACTTGTTTATGCTACTGTTGTCTTATTATTACTGAAATAGATTTAATGTCTCCATGTGTGCCAATTAGCATGTACAGAATTATCTTTTATTTGGTACTTACAAATGGCTCTATTTCAAACTTTTTTTTTCAGGTTATGAAGGAAGAGCAGGAATGGCTTCTATTATTTTAAAACCAAATAAATTTTTAGATTTGGAAAAAGTTTATGAACAAGTTGTAACATCTTTGCCAGCTTATGCTTGTCCACGATTTTTAAGAATTCAGGTAATTTTAGTGGCGCAGTTTACTATTAAATGTAAGATCAGGAAACAAGGAGGTAGTTTAATTGCAAAATAATATTGTATCCTTTAGATAACATGTGAGTTATGTGAGAGGCTTGGCATGTGGAGTTGATGCAGATCAATGCCATGTTTGAAGCCTAATTATAAAGGGGGCATGGTGAAATGCTAGGGCATACCTGTCTTTGTCCTAATTATAGAATTGCTCTCTTCCTCTTCAGTCAGGACCTCAGAGCAAAATGATGATCCCAGTGACAGTGGCAATCCAAAACCACTATCTTACTTACATCTTGTGAAAACATTTGGTGCTATGTGCCTAGAATTAGGTTCCTTTAAGGAGACATCAAAGAGATGGCAAGATGTGTGCAGAACATAAAGGCATCTGGCTTTAGGCAATCCTGCTTTTAATTTTTATTGCTGTTCTGTCCATATTCCTCATCACCTGGACCTTCCCCATGTGAGAAATTCTGAGTTTATTTTGGGATGAGGACTTAATCTCTTGTTAGGTTACTGGTATAAGTACAGTAAAAAGAAAAAAAATTTCCTTAACTACTGGGTAACTTATTTATTCAACCATTCATTTATTTAATATTTTGCATCAAATATAATTTCCTCAAATTAGTACTCATCATCTCTTAACATCCAACCACACAGATACGTTTTTTTTTTCTGAATACATTTGTTATTTCACTATTAGACCCCTAGTGGAGCAGTAGCCTGTATCATAGTCAGGTTTATAGTATTTGACAAGCAATCACTGCAGCCAAGTCACTGCTTATTCAATGGGACACATCCTCTGAACTATCATAATACATATTTCGTTTGCCTTTTTTGTTTTGAGTTTTTACATTGTCTCAGATTATTTTAACAACAACCCTCTGAAACACTAAAGGTAAGTAACTATGAAGCAGAAGTAATATATTTTCAATGAAATTTTTTGAGACAGTTGTAGATTCACATGCAGTTGTAAGAAATAAGAGAGAACTTGTATATCCTTCACCTGGTTTCCCCCAAGGATAACATTTTGCAGATCTGTTACAATCAGGATGTCAACATAATCCACCCATCTTATTAAAAATTCTCCTGCTTTACTTACACTCATTTGTGAGTGTATATTTTCTATACAGTTTTATCACCCATGCAACTTCATGCATTCATGACCACAGTAAAGATATGAACAATTTCAAAATCACAAGTTTCCCTCATGTTGTCCTTTTACAACCATACCAATCTCCCTCTTGTCCCTCCTCATCCTCAGCCCACCCCATAAGTAATATATTTTGATGGAGTAGAAAGTTGATAGGACAAATAATATTTTAAGAATTTTTTTCCAGGGCAACATAAAATTCACTTTAATTAAATGGAAAAAAATTTTAGCACAAGGCTACTTTAGAAGATTAGATCAGCCTTGCACAAATTTAGAAAGCATTTTAGGATCTTTAAACACCTAAAAAGAACATGGACTATGACTGTTATGTTTATTCAAGTATTTGCTATAGTTAGAAATAAAGCCTGACAGCAGTCAAATATTTGTTTAATAAATGAATGTTAGTAATAAATGATCTCATAAAAGGAATGCAAAAGTAAAAGTTACTTCTGATAAAATGAGTCAAACAAGTATTGTATTACAAATCTATTTAGCACAAATTAAAAATAGAACTCTTTTTGCCAATAAGTCACAAAAAAGTGAAATGTTTTAATATTCAGTGTGGCTGGGATAAAACGAACTTGGTCCTTTCTTTCTACTCATGGAAACACAAATTGTTATAACCTCTCTAGAAAACAATTTAGTAATATATGATCACACTCTTAACAGTTTGCATATATTTTGACTTAGTCAAAATACATCTTAGGAAGTAATCAAAGAGGTATAAATGTTATATATGCATACATTTCTCAAAGGACTATAGTAGTAAAAATTTTGATATTCTCTAAAAGTTCATGAATAAGGGCAAAGTTAATTGAAATATGACAATTAAATGAGACCTTATGAAACAATTTTCTAAGTTCTATTTTGAAGAAAATTACAGGACCCAGGAAAATATACTTTGTGTAGTATTAAGCTTAAAAATGGCAGAACATTAAATCGTATAAATACCGTGAGCCACTGATTTTTTAAGAGAAGAGTAAAAGGATATATGTGCTTGTATAGCCATATCTAGCTGTGATGACACTGTTGGATTGGGGAGATGGAGGAGGGAAGGGAGATCAGGGAAGGGGGTTCAAAGTGAAGTTGACTCAAATAGTCCAAAAGGATAAATAAAAATGGCCAAGCTACTCATAGAATGTTGTATGGGTCTCTACACGTCATCTCACTTAAACAGACCATTTATCCATACCTGAGATTCCCACAAAGAGATACACTCTTATCTCCTTTAAACATCTTGAAACAGAGATTCTTAAACTTTCTAGACTCATGGCATCTTTAATGTCTCATAGCACTCTTGGGTCAAAGCAAATACCTAAACATGAGTTTATTCACTAGTTAAGGAAAAACAATAAGTATTTAGGTCTAACAAATGAGTAGCCACCTGAAAAATAATCCATATAAATAAATAAATGCTTTCATTTCATTTTCAAATAACTGCAGTCACTTATTAAGGAGATGTAAGCTGGGCACTGCACAGTTCTTCAGACCTTGGAATTAGATTGGATTAGACAGGGAGAGTCTGATTTCATGTTCCACGATGATTTTTGGCTGTACTTGCTTTTTATCCCAGCAACTACCAAAAACCCAAATTTGCAAAGATAATGACATCATTGAATGTATTGCAAATTACTACTGAAACTGTGAACCTTGACCTAGTAGTTTGTGAGTGGTGACTAACAGATGTCACTGAGTTTCTCTTGAAAACAAGATATCCTGTGAGGACCTTGGAAATTCACTGAGATACCTCAAGTTTTACAGCATTCAAGTAATCCCTCTGGGTAAATTTAAGCCATGTTTTAGAACATTCTGTACCCCATCTAGCTCTTACAGTATTCTGCTTTTTATAATAGATTTGTGTGTACTTATAGTAGAAATTGCTGTCTTTTGTGGCTTTTATCTCCTCAGCATCTTATAGCATTCTCTATACATAATATTATATTGGCATTGAATTGAAGAGATAACCTATGTGTTTTAGACATAATTATAATCAGTTTAATGATTATGTTCATAATTCTTATATGTTGAATGAGTTTATATTTGAGTGAAGTTTACAGGTAAATCAAATATTTTAATATTCTAGAACACACTTTTTATTTCTAGTGTTAAATTATTAGTAGAAAATACAGAGATCACTAGATATAAAATGTTATAATTTAATATTATGGTCTATAGTATTAACTCTATATTAATATATTATAGTTATTAAATGATTCTACTCATCCTGGTAATTGCTTTACAGGAAAAAATGGAAGCAACAGGAACATTCAAACTGTTGAAGTATCGGTTGGTGGAAGAAGGATTTAATCCACTGAAAATTTCTGAACCACTTTACTTCATGGATAACTTGAAAAAGTCTTATGTTCCACTGACCAGGGAACTTTATGATCAAATAATGTTAGGGGAGATAAAACTTTAAGATTTTTCTATCTAGAACTTTCATATGCTTTCTTAGGAAGAGTGAGAGGAGACTGTATGATTCTTTACTACGAAATGGGTACAAGGAGCTAACATTATTTAGGCATGTGCTATGTTTCCTTAATATGAGAGAGAATTGTTTTAGTTGCATAATGATTTTTTCTTTTAATTGATATAAACTTTAGTTGATTATTCTTTTTGCCTATTTGGAGATTCAGTGCATAACTAAATATTTGCCGTAATATTAAAGGGTTTAAATAATAAATGGTGGCTAGCGGTTTGGACAATCACTAAAAATGTACTTTCTAATATGTAAAGTTACTAATTTTGAATAAAAGATTAAATTTTTCTGAAATATTTTAATTTTATGTGTCCCGTCCTATAACCCAATAGCATAATTTAGATTAAAAATGTGTTTTCAGTATAGTTTGAAGTCAGGTAGCATGATACCTCCAGCTTTGTTCTTTTTGCTTAGGGTTGTCTTGGCTATGTGGGCTCTTTTTTGGTTCCATATGAAGCTTAAAGTAGATTTTTCCAATTCTGTGAAGAAAGTCAATGGTAGCTTGATGGGGATGGCATTGAATCTACAAATTACTTTGGGCATGATGGCCATTTTCACGATATCGAGTCTTCCTATCCATGAGCATGTCATGTTTTTCTATTTATTTGGTATCCTCTCTTATTTCCTTGAGCAGTGGTTTGTAGTTCTCCTTGAAGAGGTCCTTCACATCCCTTGTAAGTTGTATTCCTAGGTATTTTATTCTATTTGTAGCAATTGTGAATGGGAGTTCACTCATGATTTGGCTGTTTCTCTGTTATTGGTGTATAGGAATGCTTGTGATTTTTGCACATTGATTTTTTGTCCTGAGACTGCTGAAGTTGCTTATCAGCTTAAGGAGATTTTGGGCTAGATGGTGGGGTTTTCTAAATATACAATCATGTCACCTGCAAACAGAGACAATTTGACTTCTTCTTTTTCTATTTGAATACCTTTATTCCTTTCTCTTGCCTGATTGCCCTGGCCAGAACTTCCAACACTATGTTGAATAGGAGTGGTGAGAGAGGGCATCCTTGCCTTGTGCCAGTTTTCAAAGGGAATGCCTCCAGTTTTTGCCCATTCAGTATGATATTGGTTGTGGGTTTGTCATAAATAGTTCTCATTATTTTGAGATACATTCCCTCAATATCTAGTTTATTGAGAGTTTTTAGCATGAAATGCTGTTGAATTTTGTTGAAGGCCTTTTCTGCTTCTATTGAGATAATCATGTGGTTTTTGTCATTGGTTCTGTTTATGTGATGGATTACGTTTATTGATTTGTGTATGTTGAACCAGCCTTGCATCCCAGGGATGAAGCAGACTTGATTGTGGTGAGTAAGCTTTTTGATATGTTGCTGGATTCAGTTCGCCAGTGTTTTATTGAGGATTTTTGCATCAATGCTCATCAGCGATATCGGCCTGAGATTTTCTTTTTTGTTGTTGTGTCTCTGCCAGATTTTGGTATCAGGATGATGCTGGCCTCATAAAATGAGTTAGAGAGGACTACCTCTTTTTCTATTGTTTGGAGTAGTTTCAGAAGGATTGATACCAGCTCCTGTCTGTACCTCTGGTAAAATTCAGCTGTGAATCCGTCTGGTCCTGGACATTTTTTGGTAGGTAGGCTATTAATTACTGCCTCAATTTTAGAGCCTGATATTGGTCTATTCAGAAATTTGACGTCTTCCTGGTTTAGGCTTGGGAGGGTGTGTGTGTCCAGGAATTTATGCATTTCTTCTAGATTTTCTAGTTTATTTGCATAGAGGTGTTTATAGTATTCTCTGTTGGTGGTTTGTATTTCTGTGGGATCAGTGGTGATATCCCCTTTATCATTTTGTTATTGCATCTATTTGATTCTTCTCTCTTTAATTCTTCATTAGTCTGGGTTGCAGCCTATTTTGTTGATCTTTTCAAAAAACCGGCCCCTTTATTCATTGGCTTTTTTGAAGGGTTTTTTGTGTCTCTATCTCCTTCAGTTCTGCTCTGACCTCAGTTATTTCTTGCTTCTGCTAACTTTTGAATTTATTTGCTCTTCAAACTATACTACAAGGCTACAGTAACCAAAACAGCATGGTACTGGTACCAAAACGGATATATAGACCAATGGTATAAAACAGAGGCCTCAGAACTAACACTACACATATACAACCATCTGACCTTTGACAAACCTGACACAAACAAGCAATGGGGAAAATATTCCCTATTTAATAAATGGTGTTAGGAAAACTGGCTAACTATATCCATAAAACTGAAACTGGACCCCTTCCTTACACCTTATACAAAAATTAAGTCAAGATGGATTAAAGACTTAAACGTAAGACCTAAAACAATAAAAATCCTAGAAGAAAACCTAGGCAATACCATTCAGGACATAGGCATAGGCAAAGACTTCATGTCTAAAACACCAAAAGAAATGGCAACAAAAGCCAAAATTGACACATGGGATCTAATTAAACTAAATAGTTTCTGCACAGCAAAAGAAACTACCATCAGAGTTAACAGGCAACCTAGAATGGGAGAAAAGTTTTGCAGTCTGTCCATCTGACAAAGGGCTAATAAATAATAATAATCTACAAAGAACTTAAGCAAAATTACAAGAAAAAAACAACCCCATCAAAAAGTGGGTGAAGGATATGAAGAGACGCTTCTCAAAAGAAGAGATTTATGCAACCAACAAACATATGAAAAATTCATCATCAAAACCACAATGAGATACCATCTCATGCCAGTTAGAATGGTGATCATTAAAAAGTGAGGAAACAACAGATGCTGGAGAGGATGTGGAGAAACAGAAATGCTTTTACACTGTTGGTGGGAGTGTAAATTAGTTCAACCATTGTGGAAGACAGTGTGGTGATTCCTCAAGGATCTAGAACTAGAAATACCATTTGATCCAGCAATCCCATTACTGGGTATATACCCAAAGGATTATAAATCATTCTGCTATGAAGACACATGCACATGTTTGTTTATTGTGGCACTATTCACAATAGCAAGACTTAGAACCAACCCAAATGTCCATCAGTGACAGACTGACTGGATAAAGAAAATGTGGCACATATACACCATGGATTACTATGCAGTCATAAAAAAGGATGAGTTCATGTCCTTTGCAGGGACATGGATGAAGCTGGAAACCATCATTCTCTGCAAACTAACACAAGAACAGAAAATCAAACATCTCAAATTCTCACTCATAAGCAGGAGGTGAACAATGAGAATACATGGATGCAGGGAGGGCAACATCATACACCAGGGCCTGTTAGGTGGTGGGGGCCTAGGGAAGGGATAGCATTAGGAGAAATACCTAATGTAGGTGACGGGTTAATGAGTGTTGCAAACCACCATGGCATGTGTATACCTATGTAGCAAAACTGCATGCTGTGCACATGTACCCCATAACTTAAAGTATAATTAATAAAAAAAGTGTTTTCAGTTTTTGTTCTGGTGTATTTAATTGTTTACTTCCAATCAAAGAAAGCTGACTGACTAAATGCAAGCACTGATATCTCCTTTGTCTTAAACCCACATTAAGATGATTGAAGAAATATAAATATACGAAACAGCAGATCAGGAAAACTGGTAAGCTCAGAGCACTTAGGAATTTTTGGTAGATATATAAAAGGGATAACTTGATAAAATCCAACAGATCTGTCTAAACCACTCATCATACTGGGAAAGGGTAGACTAGAATCGAACCATGGAATTATCATCAAGATCAAAAACAAAAAGGGCTACAAGTTTGGACAATTTTGTGAGTAGTTAATGGGGAAATTTATTATAAGGATAATCTAATGAGCACAATTGTGCTTATCTCAAGCTGGAAGCACCAGGCTCCGGTATTCCCTTCAAGCTAGAACCGCAGAAATGACTCTTAATATGGTGAGGTATCTTCCATAGGGGGGCACTGGGGAGCTGAACTAAGAGGGGGAAGATTGCCCAGCAAGAACCCCCTGTGCCCATAAACCCAGTTCCATGTACAACCAAACGGAAAGTTTTCCTTGCTTCAGGCAGTCTCTCATATGCTAAAAATATTGCTTTGATTGGAACAGAAGTTATAGAGAGTTTAATTTTGTAAATGCTGAGAAATCATGTCATAAAGTTAAAACACTTTTTTAAATGTAAAGGTTAACCACAAATAGCATAGAAATAAAATGTCAAATTTTATGAGACATATAATTTTGTAAAAAGTAGAAATTTTGAAAAAGAAACAACAAAAAATAGTAAATAGAAAAAAATACATGTAAGCATACTCATATACCAATATATAAATTAGAATGGATTAATTTCCTTTATTAAAACATTAATAAATGAATAAATAGACATTTATTTTTATATCTGTGATTTGTGTGGATTTTTGCCTTTCCCACTAAAAATGATTTTGCCTTTATTTACATAGTTTTAATTTGTAAGTGTTCTTTAAGTACCATGAATCTGAGTGAACATGTTTCTTATTTCTTACTCTTTTGGAGATTTGATCATGATAGTGAAGTAGGCATACATATATCACCCCATTGGATATATGAGTAAACTCCTCCTCCTGCCAAATCTGTTGCAATGAAGGACAAATGTTATAAAGAGAACGATCTATTTGAAAATGGAGGGTTGGGGCTAGGTACAGTGGCTCATCTGTAAACTCAGGTCTTAGGGAGGTCAAATGGAATCGCATGAGTCCAGGAGCTTAAGACCAGCTTGGGTAACATAGTGAGACCCCTGTTTTTACTAAATAAATAAATAAATAAATAAATAAATAAATAAATAAATAAAGCTGGGCATGGTGGCAAGTGCCTGTAGGACCAGCTACTCAGGAGGCTGGCCCCAGGAGGTCAAGGCTGCGGTGATCTATGTTTGTACCACTGAACCCAGCCTGGGTGACAGAACGAGACTCTCTTAAAAATATTACTAAAAAATATAAAACAGGTGAGTTTAGCAAAGAAACTATGAGAGAAGAGTGGGGAAACAAAACATCAAACTTATGTGCAGTGAAAAACTACTTCAAAGGAAAAAGAACTCCAACCACACAGTAAACACACATAAAAACAAAGATGGGGTCTCTGTGTATATCAGATATCAGAGTATCCTGATTATTAATTATCAAGATACTTAATTGTAGAAAATTGAGGCTGTGAATTTTCTTGCCTTTTTCTTACTTACAGAAAACTTCTAGCATCAGACAAAATAATTCATGACATAAAAATAATATGTCATTAATTTAAAAACTTCTTTAAGACAAGACAATAAAGATTAAAGTTTTTAAAGAACTAGAAACTAAGGAGAATAGTTGTCACCTTTATAGTATATAAAGAACACAAATATAAAGG